CGTCCGTCGCGCCACGCCTACACGTACCGCTGCGTGATTGTTGCCACGTGGTGCGTGCGTGCCGTCAGCTGCACGTACACGTGCGTGCCGTGCGTGTCGTACGTACACGTTTATGCTGCATTGCTGTGCGTGGTGCTGTCCACGTACATGTGCTGTGCCGTGCGCTGTGTACGTACACGTGCGTGCGGTGTGCAATCGCACATACATCGCTGCCGTGCCTCGTGCCAGTGCGTGGCGTGTGTGTACGTACACCGGCGTGCGTGCGTGTACATCGTACACGCGGCGTGCGTCGCGTGTACACGTACACGGTGCGTGCGTGGTGCACGTACACGTGCGTGGCGTGTGCCACGTTACACGTGTGCTGCGTGTGCACGTATAAGCTGCGTGCGTGTTGCACGTACAATGCCGCACGGCGTGTGCCACGTACACGGCTAACTACGAACTCGCTTATAACGAAACAATGCCAAGCTATGACAAAAGAAGCCGTCAAAGGGCCGCCGTCCCGGTCTGTGTTTAGTATGGTAATTTATTTATTTATTTTTAGTGAGTAGTAATTTTATAATGTTTTCTCATAAAAGTAATGCATATGCTGCGGTATGCCCTGCGAAACCACCTGCGGAAATATTCGATGGTTTACGGCACCTCGTCAGCTCGTGTAAAAGCTTAAGCCCAAAGCCGTTTTACGCTAAATTTTAGCTTGATGAATCGCCACCTAAAACGGCCCTCGCTTGCGTACAGCGAAATCGTACGGCAAATTTACTAAATAACTGTGTGATGAATCGCCCAAACTAACCAACGTCGATTGCCGTACACAGATTTTACGCAAATATTTTTGCGGTTACGCAGCTTGAATGAATCTACCCCAGGAGGATAGGCGAATACACGTCTATGGTCCTGCCATGCCTTGGCCCACTCATCAAAGAACCATGATAGGGATCATGATCCGCGATTGACAACACAGATTGTCTTGGCTTCTTTGCTGTCGTTTTACGTTATGTCAGCAGCAGGACAACTGGCCCTGCGACTATGTGTACATGTTATTGCTGGTCATTTCAGGAAAGGAAAGATACATTCTCTGCTTCATACAGATTGCGAATGAACTTGTCCCCAACAATATGCGACGTGTCTCCCTGCTGCTCATGGGGGCCCTCACAGGATGCGACACCACATGTTTTCAATAAACAGGATAGGCGAAAGAAAACTGGCCCCCGTACTCAAAACTGGTGAAACATTGGGACAGTCTGACAAACTCCAGCTCCATTCCATTGAGGACGACATAAAGGCAGAGCAGCACGATAGCCCGTTAGCTACACACTACTCCTCTATGGCAGAAGCAAATGGACACACTTGATGAGTTGCGGTACATCAATGCCGCGTACAACGACAAACAAGTCTGCATTCCATGCTTCCTCCACAGAAGACCCTTCCAACAAACATGTCCTTGCAGGCCCGCAATAGTACCAACACCGATTTTGTGCAGGGGAGTTCACAGTCCCCAACCAAGAGTTTGCATCGCAACCGGTTGGGCCATGTTTCGCGTCCGCTTGGGATGGCATGGAGCGCATAACACCAGACGATGCTTCACTCAATGCGATCAGCTCCAGTTGAAGTTCGCAGACTACACATCTCTATTTGCACAGACAAACACTGCTTGGATGTGCGAGGAAAGTGTCCTCTTCTCCTTTGCCGGACTAGAGTGCATCGACGCTTGTTCACTGTTACTGACTGTGAAAATCGAGAAACACCATTACCAGAAGAAGGAAGTGGCACATAAGATTTGTGTTGCAAAAAATGGCTATTGACGTCATGGCCCATAGTGTTATGCTAACCATTTAGCATTGCTGCTAACAGGGTTCATGCACCAATGTTCTACCCAGCCCTTCACCATGCTTCAACTGATTTATATCAATGCTTATTACACCCATACTGATGGCACTAGGCCTTCAGTCAGGTAAACCTATCGATACTGTTGCACCATGTATTGGTGGCAGTTATGCATGGGAAAAGTTTCTTTTATTGCTGCTCAAAATTTGCCAGATTTTTTTGGTATATTTTTGGGTAGCCCTTAACCCCCTTAACAGCCCATAGAAACTGCCTAATAAATTGCATTGCTTCATCTATATTTCAATCCAAAATAACATTGAATAAACCTATCAGTTCTAAAACATCTGCACGGCTTGATTGATTAAAAATATGCAAGTAAACTGGAAAAAGTAGTTTTCAGGTCTGTTGCCAAACAAGGTTAATTATGTACCATGTTGTACCCGCTTTACCATGGCTGAAATAATTTTTTTTTATCAATAGCACATCTAGGCCCATGAAATAGAGTCAGAAATCTCCCCCCGACACAGTGATAACAATGTATTGGTGAAATAAGTGCAAAAACTACATTATTTTGCGTCGTAATCGCCAAAAAATGCCAAATTTGGGATATAATTTAGGCCCCTTTAACCCCTTAGCCAGCATTAAAAACTGCCTCAAATTACATTGACTACATATCTATTTCAATGAAATACATTGATATAACCATCAGATGATATATTAACTATAAGGCTTGTTGATTTCATTAAAATAAGCCCAAAGTAACTTGAAATGTCATTTTTTCAGATTTCACCATTAAAAAACAGGTAAATTCGCAAGGTTTGCTGCAACTACAACATGGCTTTTCATCAAAGCTTAGGGATCCAGACGGTTAAAATCGAGACCATTCCCCAGCTTTGTTATACATTCGGTCAGAGGCCGTGCACTTAAAAAAAAAAATTTTTGGGCGTCTCGGCCCGCTGCACGATAACTCCCAAGCCCATATCTAAACACACACACACACTCACACACACCACCTGTTCCCTGACGAAATAGCAGCCCAACATCAAATAAATTCCTTCCTTTGCTCCATCATACTGTGCTCTACAATCAACTGCTTCATTGAACACATCCCCCCTCCCCACATAATACACTATTCACATAGGTTTAACACAACCTAATTACCTATCGGCTACCAAAGCCAGTACCATGGTATCCAAATTTTGATGGCTTAACACTGCCCCGCCAACAACAACCTTCACTGACCACAATGATATAAAAACTTTTTTTTTATACTTGACGACGAATTGCCAAGCTAACCATCTTGTGCAAACCAAAAATTCCTTAAAAACCCTGAAAACGAAAAAGCTTGAAAAGAGAAAAACAATACACAAACTTACCTTCAACACTGTCAACACAACCAACTCAATAATACCAGCACTGCATAACCTGAATACAAACCCCCAAAACTCAAAATATACCATAATACCATTAATATCACAATACACCAATGCAGACCGCATACCTGAAATACATACAACAACACATACAATAACACAATGAAATGTACATACAATACAATATAATTAATCTTGATCCTCGGACGATATTACAGATGTTATGATGTCCTCCCTGGTCTTGATGTTGATTCTCTGCGCTGCTTCTTCTGATGCCGATGCAATAATGATTGTAGGAACCGTAATGTCAAAATGTTGCTGCTGGCATTTTAATTTTTCGATAATGTTCCAAATGGTTGCCAAAAGTTCACCAGCCACTGATTATATTTTTGCCTAAACCCATTAGTGTCTTTTGTCGTTAACAAATATTGTTCTCACAAATTTGAGCATCGTCGCGCTCTGCTTTGAATTTGGCCGTTGATATTCTCTGCTGAAGTACTTGAAGTCACTTGATAGTGATGAAGGTAGTTTTCTTCACTCCTCTTGCAAAATGTTGCTACCGACTGCGTCTGAACTGTCCGTCGAAATATTAGTCCAAAACTGCTGTCAGCTGAAGCCATTTCGTCCGATGCGCCTCTGCCTCTCATCATGTACCCTTCATCTGCAACAATTATCTGGAAACCACCGCCGACAGTAGCTCTCTCCTAACCGCATATCACTAGACCCATGCTTTTTTTAATATTACTGTGTGCTGCACACATGTAATCAACAATCGCCAATCCTATGTAATACCCACATTTCAAAATCTAATCATCATAGCCAGCCACTTTACTAAAACAACATCCTTCCTAACCATAAACATTTAATACTTAAACCCCTTTAGCTCCCCATTCTCGTACTTTTAATCCCGTTCACTCCTATACCCAACAATTATTTCCCTACACCTTATAGCTAAACATATATCACCTCGCACTTATGCGTGCCCCGATACTAGAACCTCATGCTTACCAGCAATATTAAATCACGCGTAATGTTGATTAATCATAAATACAGCATTATCCAATTCCTCATAAATAATAATACTAGCAGACTGCACTTCAATTTTACACTATTTACCAACTGGTACATCTTTCTCACCCGCTCAACCAATAACACCTGCCATGCACTCTCAAAACGCGCTGACAAACATCCAATTGCACATTTCTGTAAATGCATATAATATCCAACTACACTGCACACTGCACCCTCCATTCACACCGTTAACTTGTGTTGCCATACTAACCTTGTGCTTTCTACTGTATATCTGTAAGTAGAAAATTATTAATGCACAATTCACTGAATATCAGTACACTACTACAGCTGCGCTAGAGGCAATCTAGATCCTCTTCCTCCCACTCATCAAGCTTCTGCCCTGCACTGCATGTGGGTGCCGTGCACAAATTGAACACTTCCGTTCCGGCTGCCTCCTTGGACTGTCGTCTCCCTAAAACAGTCTTATAACAATTTTCAGACACCCTGCATGTGCCAACTCATCCGCGAACAATGGCACACAATCAGCGCCTGACGCGTTGATCGGCTGCATCGCTGCGTTTACCAGTAGAGCTCATCTCCCCCTTTCTAGCCTGCTGCCTAGGCTGTTTGGCCGGCTGAGTGTTAGAAACAGAGAATTATGTGCAGACTTATGAATTACAACAAGCTCAACCGTATCTAGCTCTAGTACTATAGCCCGCGTACAGTTGCCGCAGGATTTGCGTATCATCTTAATATTACTTTAAAACAGTATACTGATCGTTTGTTAACTACCATTGATAAGTTATTGTTTACATTCAAAAGTGCTCTGACACTAAGCATTTTATGCATGCTCACTTGAAAACCGAACATGCGCACTCCAAACTTATTCCAAAATGCACCGCTCTTTCGCTGGCGGCGCCACCGTCCAACAGCATTTTATGCATTGAATTAAATTGATTTTATTTCTTGAATGGACCCTCTCGAGGCATGGAATAAATACATAGTTACATAATAAACATAGGAAGCATGTTTGGCAACATTTGACAAACAATTAAATAAACATCAAGATTTAACAAAATAACTATAGCACCCGATGTCACCTGACACCATAGATACTATAGCTGAGATACAGTCCGGTGTACTGGAACGTACCCTGGTACTATCTAATATGCCGGACCGACCTCGCTTACTCCACTAACGGAGTCTGTGGAGTCGCCTAACTCAAACCCTAACCCTAACCCTAACCCTCACCATAGCAAATAGTGACCAGGGTACGTTTCGGTATACCGGACCGTACCCAGGGTACGTTCCGGCAGTACCCTGGGACAGTACAGTAACCAGGGGCCGGATTCATCAACGTTGCGTAAAGTGTATTGCGTACACCGAGTTCCGAAGTACGTACGCAAAGCTCGTAGGTGCGATTCATCAACGCAGCGTAGCACCTGCGTACGCAAATGTTGATGAATTCCAGTGTAAATCCACTACGCCATCGTGGCTGCTGGCTGTTGAAGGGCGTGCCTAGCATAAACCAATCACACTGTGCGGCACATACCGATAGGAACCAAACTGACGTCTCTCTTGTATTTAAACCATATGACTCGTCTAGCTCTGTCTAGATGAGTGCTGGGGGATGTGATAGTGTCCACATTTTCGTTTGTATGATTGCGTTCAACACTCATGAAAGCAGCGACACGTACACGTGCGTGCGTGCGTGTGTACGTACACGTGCGTGCGTGCGTTGACTATGTCAGATGAGCTAAAAAGCCGTAGTTACAACAAGGGCCATGGTTACAAGGGCCATAGTTACAGGGGCCATAGTTACAAGGGCCATAGTTACAGGGGCCATAGTTACAAGCACCATAGTTATGTAATACGGTGTTTCATCGTAGGCATACTGATAGAATAAATAATAATGGAAATGCACTAATAATGGAAATGCGCTGTACTGTGCTTGATTGTCTATCTTACTATAAATTGGGGAATTTCTGTGTGTGTGTGTGCGACGGCTATACGTTTCCGCACCGCTCAACGGATCCTCTCCAAACTTGGTACGAACATTCTACAGATCATGACACGTTTCATGGGCTATCTTTTTTTTCAGTTTCATTTTTTTCACATTCCACTTTCAAAAACATTAAAATAGTGGGAAATTTTTGCATAGCAACGTCACAACAGCACGAAAACACGACGCCACCTATCGGATCTTATATGTGTTAATATTATTATTTTTTTAGTTTTGACCACCTAACAGGCATGGACGGGTATGGCTAGTACTTAGAATAAACTGTTGTTATCACCGCTTAGAAGACTGTTACTTATCACTGTTTGTATATCAATATGTGATATTTACCACGCTACAATTACAAGCACCATAGTTACACGTGCTATAGTTACAAGCACCATAGTTACAAGTGCTACAGTTACAAGCACCATAGTTACAAGTGCTAC